CCTAACTTCTATTGCTAAATTAATGTTCTTAATGTTCTTAATGTTTTCCTCCTTAGTTCTGTGTCAGGACCCAATATCTTGCCTAAAACACTGCTCTTTTAGAAAACGTATGGTATATGATCTATAAATGTGTGTTGTATGTTCTATAACAAGGCCTTAATTGTTTTGTTGTTGACTGATTACTAGTAATCACTGAACACTAGCGTTAAATATTTTCTCTTTCTGCAGGAGATTTGAACAAAGTTGGAGACAAGGTCTTAGTTGCTAGAGGTGGGGAAGGTGGGAAGCAAAAGAATGAATGGAGTGGAACTAAGGGAACCAAAGGCAGTTTTAAACTCATTTTGAAACTGATCGCTGATGTTGGATTTGTTGGGTAAGTATGTGAATTGAATGCAAACCATGAATGGCATTATAATATTTAAATATTGGCGGAATGTAACAATTTAACATAGAATGGATACTCCTTACAGCCATTGAATGTATACATATATAAGTTCTTTATTCTGTCCTCTTCCCTGTAGGGTTCATGATATAGGCCCATAGTCAACAACATGACCACAAAAAAAAAGAAATATTGGCAGTAAATGTATCACATTATTAAACTATTCTTTCGTTATAGCTTCCCTAATGCTGGCAAATCAACTCTTTTGAAAGCTGTTTCGAGAACTGAGCCAAAGATAGCTGACTATCCATGTAAGATTGTTATCATTTATTGTTGTACTTTACTCAATTGAAGTAGAGGATGAAATAATTTTCTATTTTTTTAATGTTATCCAATTATTAATGATCTAATGAATAAAAATACACAAAGCGTTTTAATTGTCGTGATGCAAATTTTGCTCTATAATCAGCGTACTTTCAAGGTATTTTCCTTGTTCCATATTACTCTTGTATTTACATGTATGGATTTTGTCACATGTGTTTTGCATATTTCAGTAAAACATAAGTATCCTTGACAGAGATTTCTTTCATGAAAAAAATCCTAGATATTTCTTTTGTGTGTTGTATCAGTTTATCTTAATTCTTTGTTGTTGGTGAAAATCAAATACCTTGAATTTATGATAATGTTAACAGCGTTTTTGCCTTATCCCTCTACCATGCAGTCACTACCATACGACCACAGGTTGGAATTGTGGAATACGATGATAAACGGCAGGTAATTTGTCTTTGAATTGTTTTGTTCAACTTTCCAGAATATGTGTAGTTTGATTCTCCCATACTTTGTAGCAATTACTATAAGCTTCTCATTTAGGCAAAACTAGTGCTATTCTTGCACAAATCTTAAAAAATATGCACCATACTTGTGTCTTCTTCTGGAGAATAACATTGGAAATATTTTACTTTTTTCACTTTTTTCAGTTCATATTTTGTCAAATTTGTGTTCTATTTTAAGTCTGTTGTCCTGTAACATCTTTACTCACAATTCTGAATGTCCTCTATTACTTTATGCATGTCTCCCTAGATCAGTATGGCTGACCTTCCCGGTCTGATAGAGGGCTCCCATCAGAATATGGGAATGGGACACCGATTTCTACGCCATGTTGAACGCACCAAACTCCTTCTCTTTGTCGTTGACGTCCATGGCTTTCAACTGTCACCCAGACATGCTTATAGGAATGCTTTTGAGACAATAAACATCCTGAACAAGGTAATATATTTTTCATTGTAAACATTCTCTTACCAAGAGCCAGAAGGGAGTTACTCACACATACATACTTTTATGCATTTAACACATTCTGCCCCCCCCCCCTTTCTGGCTCTCAGCGGATGATATGTTGTTTGTGTTATATGTGCCAATTATTTCAAAGCATTCTTATTTCTTGCACATCCATACAATCATTTATGATCCTCAAATTGCCTAAAGGCTTATATTCCTGGAAGTATTTATAGCTACTGTAAGTTAAAGAATAAACTGGGAAATTTTCGAAAATGATATGCACATTCTGTGGAGTAAGGTGGTCTATGGTACGCTAATGTGTTTTGGATATTTATTGAAATATTTTGTTTTCACAAACAGAAATTGAACTCTAAATAAATCATGAATTTTGTAGTATTCTTACTATTTCAATGATAACTTACTTATTTTGCATGCAGGAATTGGAGCTGTACAAGTCCGAACTAGTAGAAAAGCCAGCGATCCTAGCACTGAATAAACTAGACATGGAAGGAGCAGATGAGTTACTCCAGGAAACATTAGAAGCCATCCAGAACAGTAAGTGTAATTTCTATTCCACATCTGATAACAGGAGCATGGGGGTGTTTCACAAAGATCTAAGTTGAACTTATCTTTAAGTTGGACTTAACAATTATGGAAAGGCGTTCGCATCTTTGAAAATATTTTGTAAAAAGTTGTTTTAAAAGGCACAAAATGTTGATTAAAATCATTCATATTTTCTATTATCAAGAAGATTTTATGTTCTTGATGTGAAATTCATAAAAAGTTTTAAATACTTGATTTTTAGATTTTTAATATATTTGTTTTTAAGGCTACAAATGGCTCTCCATAATTTTTAAGTCCAACTTAGAGTTAAGTTTGACTTTGTATCTTTGTGAAACCCCCCCCCCCCCCAGATCTTAAAGACAATAGCAGAAGCAGTGCTACACTTACTCTTCACATATATCCATTATTACTACGGTAGTACCTACCGGTATTTGTTATATCTATACACAGAGGGCTTTCAAAATTGTCACCAAAGAAATGTGAGATAATTGTAATAAAATGTGATCTTGAGTGCACTCACTGATTGGGAATAGTCCTCCTCTTATGCTTTTGCTACATACCCTGAGAAATACAGTTTACAGGAATATGTGAAGTCCTGTAAACCATATAATCGCAGAGTAATCTAACAGTTATTCACAGAATGCACATTTCATCTGTGTCTGGTTTAAAAAAAAATATGAATAAGAATGTCATTCAAGGACATTACTAAGTCTTTTAATTGTCTTGCAAGCCAGTGATGCTGTGGTTTGGGCATGTAACTAGATAGCTTGGCAAAACTATCTTGCAAGGAGGAACAAGGAGGATAGATACTGATTATCATGCACTTAAACAATTTCTCACCTATTTCCATCTCATTCTTTACCAGACACCGAAACATCGCACAGTCATCCTGATATGGTAGAAGGCACCACTGAGGAGAATGGAGAAGTCAGAAAGCCAATTTCTTTTGAAGATGTCATCCCCATCTCTGCCAAAGACGGAGAAGGACTAGATAGATTAAAGAGCAGAGTTCGGGAAGTGATTGATGAACATTATGAAAAAGAGAGAACTGTTGAAGAAGAGTCGGAGGGTGATGTTGGAAGGAGAGCAACTACAGGAGTGTTATGAGGCAGGTCATCCAATCTTTTCATTGGTCTACCGGTAGGCATCGGGGAATTGGTGCCTGTACCACCCCGTGCCCAGAGATGGCGACATATGACAACCCAGGTCCCGTACAGATCGTACTGGCCTATGTTCTAATACAGGATCTCTGTGCAATGTTCAATTCAATTCCCAAAGAATAAGAAATATGAAAAATATAAAGAGGACGATGATTTTGATGAGAATCAGTTTATCCAAATATGCAATATGTCAAAACTTTTGCTATTGACTGGCTCAGTTGGCTGGCTGTCACATCGTGTCTGGAGACAAGTCTGTACTGGTCCAGGAGGGCCAGGTGAAGCACCAACCGTGGGAGGGCAGAGATTATAAAATGTGTGACACAAGGGTTCTCTAAAAGGAATGATACCCTTGGTGCTAGGCTAGTGCTAATACCAAGTGTGGGGACTTCAGAAAACTCTTCCACAACACTTTCAACTTTCTTTTTTTTAATCACTACCCCCTAGGATGCAACAAGGACATGTTTTTAGGTGGTGGTATTTTACCTGACTGCTAAGAAATCATAAATGCTTGTAAGTAAGCAACCAGACAGTCGACGGCTTTAGGTCCTGTCCGAGGGACCTGGTAATGAGGATTAATGCCTTACCAAAGGGCACAAGCGCATCGCCTTGGTTTCAAACCCTGGTCACCGGATTACGAGACCACTGCTCTACCGACTAAGCTATCGCGCCTGTTTCCATTAATTCAGACCATTTCCTGAATAGACATGCATCAGAGGACTGAATAACAATGAAATTGATCGATGAATCTGCTAATCATTTCTCTGTGTTGGATAATTAACATACAACTGTACTAGAAGATACTCAAGTACCATGTTTCTTGGGGAACAGACACTGTTTGTGAAATTACAGCAGTAACTCTCTTCGATTGTGGTTTTTATTCTAGGGCAACTAAATAAGAGAACTGCTTGTATATTGATTTGCAATCTATTTCTCTGTGTCTGTGAGAATGCAACATACTCCAATATGCTCTTTAAGCAATTATATTTCATAATACTTCTGCTATATGTATAACATCTGACTAATTTTTACCACGTTTCCACTTTCCTCTATGTGAAAGATATATGCCTTCTTTCAACAATTATGGAATTTTAAATTAGCCCCCCCCCCCACCCTAACAAAATAAAATAAAAACAATAATGCATCAATGTATCAAATTTAGCATTGAGTCAGATTATGAATATTAAAATGTCTTTATGAATAAAAGTTGAGTTTTAATATTGCCATTTCAAACATGAAAAAATTACATAAGGAAAAGGAAGTACATATGTCAATCAACTTTGTATACTTGTGTCAAAACTTGAAATGTATGAATTAAATATATTATATGCTTTGAAAATAAACTTTGCAATGCTGATGCTATGCATTTGTTGTGTGTCTATACTTCTAGAAGCCTTACATACATAACTGTATGGTCACCAGTAAATGAGGATCTCTGCTTATGCTCTATTATCTAATGGCAACCTTTGCTGCCATATTTGAGCAACCAAAGTTGTGCAATAACCACATTTTTAGCTTTTTATGATGATCACTTGTGCAAATGATGAATAAAAAAAAATATCTACACAGCATGTAGAACATAGCGAGGGGACTAGGTACTTTCTAGGGAAACGTTAAACAAAACAACAACAAAAAAATTAAATTTGACTGTTGAACAAAAAGGAAGTAAAATTAAACAAAGTCTGTATGAGACGATGTTATGGGAGGACGAAAATTGACTGAGCACGTATGAATGTTTCCCCCATTTTTTAAAGTTGTGAATTGTAAACCGGATATAAGGGGTGCAAAATAAAAAATAAGATCCTGAACAAAAGTGAAATGTGAGAAAAGAAGGTGCCGAGTAGGGAAATAATAATTCGGATGGAGGAGGGAGCTACGTGTATTTTGCCGCAGAAAATGCGAGTATACCGCCGCGGCATGAGTTTTATAAAACGGGGAACCCCCAAGGTGTGTTCTTATAATTTTATATCCGATTTAACTTGAATGGTATCATTGGCTGTCTGCTTGAGTCAAGTGAAGATCAAAATTAACAATGAGTTCTGAAATGCTTCGAGCAGGAGGGCTTATTATATTTAGAAGACTCCAAATAGGAATTGAATACTTACTGCTCCAAACATCATATGGAAAACATCACTGGACACCACCCAAAGGTAATGGTAACTAGATAATTCTCGAAAGCAGTAAACAAATTTTTACACTTCAGTCCCATGTATTTATTTCAGTGTACGTTCCAATGTGCACATTTTAATTTTTTAAAATTTTAATTAAACAAAAGAAAAGGAAAAAAAGATTGCTCATCATTAATTTGAATGACTACTTGTTTTTTGAGGCTATGTCTGACCTAGCAACAATGCAGGCCTTTAATACCACTTACTGTTTTTACTAGGCCTGAGTCAAACCGTTTAACCGACGGTTATCCGACCGCATTCATCAAAACCGTTTAGCATTTCTCGCTCCGGTTAACCGTTATTTGCATACATTTTGGAATGTGCTAATAGCCGATGATAAAGATAATCAAAGAAACCGCTGTGTAATATTACACCCTGGCCGCTGCGCGCCAGCTTTCTGGCAGCAGTAATCCCCATGAATGAATTTGTAAACAATAAAACAACCAGCCCCCTTCTCTCTTTTCTCACCCTCTTTATTCCCTTCTCTCTGCAATGTGTTCATCGCTCATGTACCTTTTCTTATTACTGCACTCTCAGCTCACAACTTTCTAAATGTTTACACATTCGATGGTCAGTTCCTCTCACATCCCTTCTCCCCCGAGTCTCTCTCTCTCTCTCTCTCTCAATATTAATATCCATCCCTTGCCGACTCGCCCCCTAAAATAATGTTCATATATAAATAAAATACAAAAATATTGATAACAATAATAATTGAAGTTTTAGAAATATCAATCAACAAAGTCTTGGATATTATTTGTGAGTAATTTAAGTTTTTGATCATTCTTCAATTCAGCCGATTAACACAGCCACCCTTTCTTACTTCGATCTTCACTCATGTCCCTGCCTCGTCCATGCAGGGACATGCAGGACATGCTAGCCCATATGCTCTCTCAGTCACACACACATGTACACACAAACCTCCGGCGCCCAAATACACTGTACATACACACAGATGGAGAGGTCATGCTTGTCACATGCACACATGTGGGCGTGGCTTCTTGACCTCCCACTGAACTGGGTACGGTGAAAGCACGCGCGGTCACCAACCTGTAATTTATGCTGGTATCAAACTCCACCCACATAGCTAGAGAACCTTCCTGATTGGTCACTAACTTGGATCAGCTCATTGCAGGGTGTGTCTTGGGTGTGTGTGATACACACTTCATCATAATTTCATATGGCAATGATACATGCAGGGAGCTCTCTCCCTGACCATGTGCAAACATTGCATTGCAAAGGCATATATAAACACGTCACAGATCAACTAACTTCACTGAGTAACTTTGCAAGGTTAATCATCATATCAAATTCAGATGAGGAATAATAAGACATGTTTTATGTTGTTTATTACTGGTCTCTGTTTATCAGGATGACCCAATTTGTGCCATAGTCCGGGGCTGGGAATGCTCAGCCCGACAGTCTGAAGACCAGCAGGGTTCCGAGCTACAGCACTATTAAAAATACTGTATTTTCACTTTTTCAGATTATTATTAAACGGTTAAACGAAACCGCCCGTATACTTTTAACGGTTAACCGTTTAGCACAAAAACCGTAATGACTCAGGCTTAGTTTTTACTTAGTTTTCAAAGTCTAAGACGGTGACAAGAAATTTGTCTGAAATTATCACAATTTACGCGTACTCTTGGACTAGATCTGAAACATTTTTTTAGTCTCGGAGCAATAAACATCTGTGAATTAACTACATAAGAATGTATTTCCAATTCTGGTATATTTTCAGGGTTTTTTTTTTACTCTTTGTTTTTGTTATTGTTTTTTGTAAATGGGAGAAAAGCCCAATATTTATAAATTACCATCAATATCCTTAATCAATTCCTTATTTCCATTGTTCAGGCCATCTGGACCCAGGAGAGGATTACCGTATCGCAGCTTTGAGAGAGACGGAGGAAGAAGCGGGCTATACCAGTGATCAACTCACAGTTACAGACTTCAAGAGCACTCTCAATTATGTTGTGAGGAATAGACCAAAGGAGGTTGTCTATTGGCTAGCTGAGCTGAAGGATCCAAATGCAGGGGTGAAATTGTCCAATGAGCATCAGGATTTCAAGTGGTGCGACTTGGAGGAAGCTATTCGGCTGTCAGGATACAGCGATATGGAAAAGGTGTTACGTGATGCACATAAACATTTACAAAGCTGATGTGCATACCAGCCAAGCCAGATATGGTCTTGAAATTAAAGAAAATTTATCTTTGGACATCATGGAGGTTTACAAATTGAGTGGATATCCATACCATAAATTGTATATTGATCACTGTAATGTTATGATTGGCAGGCCTGCTTCCGTCATGTGGTTTCCACTGAAAGTGTTCAAAATGTATGCACTGGGAGTAGGAGGGAAGTTTTTTTTAAAGTATATGGTTCTTCCAAACTAGAAGACCATAACTGGTCTTTATCCCATATTTCAAGTGTCTAGGGTGCCAAGTTCATCTATTGCACATGACTCATGTGTTTCAGGTGCAGTTGAGAAAAAAGAAGAACAAATAAATAATTTTTAAAATGTGATATATAATGTTTGTATAAACTGGTTGGGGATGCATTAAACTTGTCAAAGTAATGGGGGTGTGTCTTTTTCTAATGATATATTAGGTAAATAATATTACATTGTATAGCGCTAGTGCTTACTTTAGGCTTAGCTCTTGGAGTAGTGAAAGTCAAGTGGGGGTTTCAATTTTAAACGACGAGTTTTCGTCATGTGAGTCAAAAGGGTGTAAACTGGTATACCTCAACACAAAGTTAATTCTCTTCAGGCTCAATTCAGATGACTTTTCTGGAAAATATAGAAGGTACCGGTACCCCTTTTTTTTTTATAATTCACTCAATTATGCTCTTATTTTTGTAAAGAATATTTAATTGGGCATGTATTTTTTTCCGCAGTTTTTGACTAAATGGTTTTATCTCTTACGGTACTTTTATGTACATGTATGAACATGATTCTTTAGATAGTACAGACTCTATTTTGCAACTTTTAAAAATAAATGCTCCTTTCCCTTTTAACCCATCGACTACTGAGTTCTATAATTCCCATAGGCTTTAAAGGCACCTATTTCCAGTAGGCAATCATTTAATCTTTGTTTCCAAAGAAATGTGCGGTCAGTTGCCCCACACTTGTGGAATAAACCTACTGTAATGAAAAGGGAAGAAAACAATCCTTCAACCATTTTGAAAATAATGAAAATTAGCTGGTGAATGGAAGTGTCTCGGAAATGTATTGTATTTGAATGGAAATTCAATTTGTTTCAGCCCTGTATGAATGTTTTTTTTTTAATAATAAACCATATTGTTTAAAATCAAATCAAATCAATTGTATATTAAGGAACTTCTTTTGTATTTCACCTAAATAGCTCAGACACAACACATGTAAGTGTAAAACATGTAGGTTTTGTTTGCACACCTTACATTGACGTGGATTGGATTTTTGTCTTCTGTCAGTGGAGCAGTGAGTACAGAGGTGTAGAGATAGAGGGAGGGGAGGGAGGGAGGGAGAGAGAGAGAGAAAGAGAGAGGCCTGAGAGAGAGAGAGAGAGAGAGAGAGGGAGAGAGGGAGAGAGAGAGAGAGAGAGGAGGAGGAGGAGACAAAGAGTGGTAGGATAGACAGTTTAAAGGAGGAAGTAGAGAGGGATGGATGGATTGGTCATTAATGAAGGCTGCTTGTTCAAAATTTCATGTGTATTTTCAGTGAGATGGTATAACACAAACATAACAAAAATAAACAATGAAAAACAATGAAAAGAGCATATGAGATTTGTCCAATTTTCTACCCTTTAATCATGTACATTAACCAACCTATAGTACCATCATTTACAGTAAAAAGAGAGAAAAATAAAAATGGGAAAGAGGAAGATTAAACAAAATAAAAAATACATAATTTAGGGTGTTGTTTTTATGATGATGGTGCTGACAAGGACTGATGAGAATCGTTAGTTCTGGATAAATTAAACGAACAAGGGGATGACTTCATCGCAATTTTTCTTGATTTGTCTGATCAAAATGAACATAAATGTGCCACGAGCTGGCGCTCGACTATTTCGAGATTGCGGGAATCTGACGGCGCCGCGGTAAATGCAAGATCATGAGCTGAGACGAATACCAAACAGTTTCAAAGAAAATTAGGGTAAGAAAAACAATGATCTTTTAAATGATGATTTCAAAGAAAAGGCTAGAGAGCCGGTTGTTAGACTGAATGGAACAGAGATTAATAAAATTCCGTCAGAGCTGCGTTGAGTTAAAGTCACTGCACAATTACTTGCAGTTGCACATATTACTGCACAGTCCCAGCTGTTTTAATTAATGTGTTGTTGTTTTGAATGTTGTGTTGTGGAGGGTAAATTTAAAGGGTCGATCGTAATCATCGTGAAGCCCTTGCTATTTTGCTTACCCCAGACCCCTCCCCCAACTTAACAGGAGTTATATTGAACAGAGGTTGCGTTGGACGATATGGTTAGACAATGAAGTAGGCCTATACAAATAAATAGAGAGAGAGAGAGAGAGCAGAAATGCAGTATTCATAAAATTGAATGAAAGGAAACCTGTCGCATAAACATTTTATTATGATTGCTTCTGACTAAAATGACAAGTTCATCAATCACTGTAACAAAAATAACTTAATTATATAGGTCTAAGAGATCGAAAGAGACTATAGATCATTGGATGTGTAATGCAAACTTCTTCTCCTATACATTGGGCCTGCTGTATGTATTCCGTAATAGATACCAGTACTGTCGGTATAGGCCTACAGAGTGTTTTCCCATGAAATTCTTCATTTACTCTTTTGTTTTGGCGTTATAATAATCTTAATCATTGAACTGGTTCATTGTGTTGTTTTTGTTTCTTTTCTTTTGTTCGAAAATGTTGTAACTGAATTCATTTTGTTTTGATTTAGATTGTTTACATCAATATGTTTGTAAATTTTGTATTTATGATGTAGGGCCTCCGCAGAAAACAGTATTTAACTACGTCTACTTTACTTTACTTACTTTAATCCATCGATGCTTGTAGGGCAATGCCTGTTCATCGATCATTGGGTTAAAAACATTTCCATCTCTCTTCGGGCGTAAGTCTTATCAAGTGAACATTTGTCTTTCATACATACATGTATGTTTAAACTGGATAGTGATGTGTGTGCATGGAGCAGAATCAGTTCTCAATTTGAATTTCTCTCTCCTTCGGGGTCAAAGACGGTAGGTAGATTCTTCCAATGTTTGTCTAGTCTGTTTTTGAAGGAGTTTACTGAAGGAGCTGAAACTACCTCTTCTGATGGAGCCACCCTACTAAAAAAGACTAATAAATAAATAAATGAACCTGAACCTGAACCAGCATCAAAGACAGGCGGGAAGCTTGGGCATGCTTATAAATATTTAATAATAATAATTGTTTCCCATCACGTTGACCAATCGGGGGGGGGGGGGGGGGGGGGGTGACAATTAGTGCTTTGGTCAAACGTTTAACCGTCCAGTATCCGACCGCCCATGGCACTATCCATTTTCGATTGGACGGTTTCGTTTCCCCTTTTTTAAAATTTTTAAAAATGTTATTACCAGTAATTTTTTAGAATTTAAAAAAAAAATTAAAAAATTAATAATTTAACAAAAAAATTATTTTATTGGAAAATGCAAAATGTACATAATTAGAAACATAATCACTGAACAAAAACGGAGCCTTTACTGGGTTTCACTTTGTTTATGAAGCTAATAAATCAAGTTTGCCAACATTATAGTCATCATCAAAGTAAGCCCTAAATGTTGAATTGCAGAGCAGCAATCTACACGATAACAATCAATTGCAAGATTGTAGATTGAGAAGTTGACCTGTAAAACTAAGTTTCCAGCCTTGAAATACATGCACAATACTTCACTGATACCATTTATTTAAAAATAAAAAAATTATTAAAAATTAAAATTTTAAAAATTGTTTAACCAAAAACCGTCCGGTTTTGACTAGCGGTTAAACGGAATCAGAAATATCTGTGATGTTACAACACTAGTGACAATCATTTTCGTCTGCTCAGAGTGGGACTTGAACCAATGCGTGCCCAGGACCAAAATCCAGTTGAAACCAATTGGAGCAAAACCAATTGAAACCAGTTGCCAACTGGTTTCAATAGGGAAATTGGAACAACTGGTTCCAATTGAAACCAGTTGAAACCAATTGCCAACTGGTTCCAGTTGCCTAATTGGTTTCAATTTGTTCCAATTTCCCTATTGAAACCAGTTGGCTTCAATTGGTTTCAATTGGTTTCAACTGGTTTCAATTGGTTTCAACTGGTTTCAATTGGTTTCAATTGGATCCAATTGAAACTTACAGTTGGCATAAACTTAATTAGTTATAAGTTAATTAGCTCTTGCACTGATTATCGCTCATGTCAACACAGAAGCATTGTTATATGTGTCTACATTAAGTACAATGTAAAGGGCATTATAATATGCAGACCATATAATATACTTAACAAGGAAGGCATTGCCATTATATATGTTTGTATTTGATGTATTTTGTACATGGTTAGTGTTTTACTAATCAACTTTTAATCTGTGTAATTACAAAAATATGTTACTAATGAACATGCTTATCATTGCTAATTAATCTTTATATTTATCTAAAACAAATGCATTACTTGCAAATGAAAATTAATTAATAAGTACATTGTAAATCAAAATAAATTACATAAAACATTGATCTGCACACAAGCAGATAATATGCAAATTAACTGGTTTCAATTGGATCCAGTTGGGTAACTGGAAATATTTCCAATTGGAACCAATTGTGTAACTGGAAATTAATTTCTAACTGGAACCAGTAAGCTAACTGGAAATTACTTCTAACTAGAAATGAATGCTAACTGGAACCAATTGGGTAACTGGAAATGAATTCTAACTGGAACCAGTTGGGTAACTGGAAATTACTTCTAACTGGAAATGAATACTAACTGGAACCAGTTGGGTAACTGGAAATGAATTCTAACTGGAACCAGTTGGGTAACTGGAAATGACTTCTAACTGGAACCAGTTGGGTAACTGGAAATGACTTCTAAATGGAAATGAATTCTAACTGGAACCAGGGTAACTGGAAATGACTTCTAACTGGAAATGAATGCTGACTGGAACCAGTTGGGTAACTGGAAATGACTTCTAACTGGAACCAATTGGGTAATTGGAAATGAATTCTAACTGGAACCAGTTGGGTAACTGGAAATGAATCTAACTGGAAATGAATGCTAACTGGAACCAGTTGGGTAACTGGAAATGAATTCTAACTGGAACCAATAGAGTATCAGGAAAATCATCTTACTGTTTCCAGTTGAACTTCTAACTGGAACCAGTTGGGTAACTGGAAATGACTTCTAACTGGAACCAATTGAGTAACTGGAAAAATTACCTTACTGGTTCCAGTTGCACTTCTTATTGGTTTGAACTGGAAATGAGTACCCATAACAATATTTTCCAGTTCGGCAATTGGTTTCAACTGGAAATTTTCTATTCCAATTGAAACCAATTGAAACCAATTGAAACCAGTTGAAACCAATTGAAACCAGTTGGAGATTTCAACTGGTTTCAATTGGAT